GGGGGGGGGGGGGAGTCAAACGCACCTTTCAATTTGCACACTTTCTTTTTGTTAAACCATAATTTATAAATGAAGAGTTAAAGTTATTTTAATCTCTACTTGCCCCCCCCCCCCAAATTTAAAAAAAAAGATCAATAGTGAAAGCCTGATGAACGAATGTTATCGCCCAAAAGAGTTTCTAGTTCAGCCTGAACTCCACCGGGTAATGGTCACTGATAGCCCGAGTGATGGTGTTGTTGAGCCCAAGGGCAGTATCGAATCTGTAAACTTTGGCAGAATCGGCCATGATATCCGCGTTGCCTTCTATGACGATCCTGTCATAGGCGCAGTCGGTGGTGGTCGATGTGGTGGTGTCGACGGTGTCGGCAATCAAGCTCCGATATTTGGGGTCGACAAACAAGGGAAGGGTTGCCTTCTCCTGGTTGTTAAGGTAAGAACAGTCGGCATTGAAGTCGCCCATGGCAATGACACCGGCGGCGTTGGGGAAGAGAGCTTTGGCAGCTGTCATGGCGGTTGGCAAGGCCTGGGAGGAGAAAACACAATTGAACAAAGTAATTACAATGTGTGATATATATATATATATATATATATATATATATATTTAATACTAATACTGTTTTAATCGGGACACATATTTACCTGACTGTCCAAGAGCTCCTGCAGCATAGGTCAAAATGGTGAGCTCAGTTCCCCCCCACCCCACCCTTCCCCTCAGTTTAAAAATTATTTAGGACTTGTGAATGTGTTAGAGACCATTATGAAAATTTTAGCCCTCTAGTGTTCAATAACATGACGTATTGTCTATATGTCAGGGGCTCTAAATCGTTTTGCATCGCCTCGCCCACTCATGATTTCAAAACTTATTCTGCAGCACTCTTGTTAAGAATACTCATAAAAATGCACAGTAACCTGATTTACAGGTATAACCGCACCCTCTGTCACAGCCCAAGCAGCCAAAGATCCAAGTCTCAACGGCCTTGATTGACGGACGCTTCCTGTCATCGCTTACCCCGAAAGAGAACCACATCACGATCTTACTGTACGAGAGCTTTATTGATCGCAATCACTTACTCCGATTTATTGTTATTCAATCTTTCATATACGTGTTTATTGGCTTCTGAATATGAACAAATCGGGGAATGAATGTGTGAAATATAACAGGCTTACCTTCTAAAAATTACAAAAACCTATTTAATCGGAAGCCAGAAGAGAGTCAAATCATGATCCGAATGAGCTGCCGCAATTTTCTATTTGGTGTTAATCACTCGATAATCAAAATTAATATGGACTTACAAATATAAATACATTTTAAAAATAATACAACACATAAACACTGACACCGTACACAATTATAAAAATTGTGATCTTTTTTTTGTGTGTCGCTTATTTTCGGTGAATTTATTTTCCTGTGATATTTTTCCTACGTTCGGCGGAATACCCAGCCAGACCACTGCTTTGATCTCACACATTTAAAATTCTGAATGTACTCACTTGTAACTCTTCCAATGCCATGTCGGGCTTTGTGTGTATACCCATCAGCACGACATTGACGGCGTGGCCTAGTGACGTGGACGGGTACTCTATGTCCACGGCGAACGGCTCACGCTCAAACACATCACTCTTGGAATCGTTGTACTGGAAATTCCCCAGGACGTTCAGGGAAACCTTCTTGTAAAAGAAAACATACTGCTCCTTGTAGCGGGTCGTGCGTCCTACGGGATTGCTGGACACGTAGTCCCAGGCGGTGGACCCGAGCAGGTTCTTGAGATTGATGAGGGCCGAGTGGTCCTGGTCACGGACCTCCTGGATGAGGACGATGTCGTAATGGGTCAGCACCTGAGCGATATTTGGGCCCTGCGCCGCCTGTTTCGCGTCACCGTAAGTTTGAATGTTGAAGGCTCCGACACTGATGGACGCCACTTGGTGTGTCACTGAGAAGATGCAGACAGCGAGGAAACACAAGCGAACTTTCTGTGATGGCATCGTGAAATGAGTTGTACGATCTGCTGATGTTTAAAGACATTATTATAAGAAGTATAGGCAGCTTTAAGCTCGGCTTTATAAGAGTCCTTTGAAAATACTGAAGGAAGGCCACGGAATTCAATAATTAATTAGAAACCAGGGGCGGAAAACGGTTGATTCTGAAAAAAACCGCACCAATTTCGGAGAAAGTACAGTCGAAGTTTTTTTTACCGATAATTTATCAAAAACGGTTTCGTTATAGTTGACCTAAAAATATCTACCTGTCATAAACAGATACCTTTAGTTTTTTTTTAAAATGTAAACGCCGATGATGATACAATTATTTACGTTAGGACATACAGATGTAATTTGACTTTTTAAAATTTACATTTTAAACTAACCCCGTCTGTCACCTTATATATGTTACCGTAGCACCTGTTATAAGATGGTAAAATTTTTCAGTTGAGAGCTTCTCAGTCCATTTCATGTAAACAGCCAGTAACAATTAAATGAAATCTTTGTATTATTCGTGAACAACAGGAAAATCAAACTTCTAAACCATTTATTCTCAAACTTTTCAATACTCTGCAAGCCCCCCCCCCCCACACACACACACACACCCTTAACAAAAATAAAATATCCTTTGAACTCTCAAAGTTGCGTCACATATTAACTTTTGGATCAGGAGTGACTCGTGGATTATAACTTGATTTTTTTTTTCACTCCTTTTTATGTACCAAAATTATATTTAACGCTGCACTTTAATTTCATGAATACAATTGTTTAAAAATTAGCTATTTTAAGCTTCGATTCAGCTTTTTAAATAAACAAATTTTTTTTAGTTATTGTATCTTGTTTGGGTTTATGTTTGGGTTTGGGTTTGTTAAACGATACCAAAATTCACTGAACGGTCGGTAACACAAAAATATACCAAAAAAAAAAAAGGTTCCACAGTAATACACCAATGATGTTGTAAATAACATTTGAAGTCAAGAAGTGTTTCTAGCAGAATAGAACCAAGAGAAAGACAGCACTGCTGATGAGTTTGTGCAAGTTGACCCAAGCGAAAGTTTGCGATAGGGTTTGTCATTTAATGGCGGCAATCTATTAATAGAACATCCGGGCATACAGTATGGCCAAAGCTCACTAAGATATTTATAAAAAAATGTCCAGGTACTCCGTTTGGCCTCTCTCTCAACAGCTGTTGGGGAGTTCTTTGTTAATGTGAGCCGGCATAGTGGGTGAAGACCTAGACGAAAACGTGTTAACAACTTTATTTTAAGAAAGATTTAAAAATCAAAAAATTGTTACTACTTTTTTATATTTGGAAATGCAATGTTAGAATCTATGTTCTAAATTGTCTAAAAATAGTAACATTACGTAAAACGATGTGACGTTTTCTGGTCATAGAAATGACAAACCCTTTTAAAGCTAAGACTTTTTTCTTTATTACGATAGTTCAAAAAGCATTCTACGTAGTTAAAATGTAACAGTGAACTTCATAAAAATGTCAAATAAGTATTTAAGCTTACGCATGTTTGTGTATCAAGTGTATATGCTATCATTTTTTTCTTAGACATATTTGCGTGTAATTTCCATTTAATACGCCAAGAGGAGGCAAAGCCTTTTCGGTCTATGATTTATTGTGGATTTAAAAAAAGAAACTTTAATTTTTGATTTGTATTATTTTTAATTGATTAACGCATTTAGTTTTATTCAGTTGTTTGAAATTATAAGATCTTAGCTTAAATGTACAGCTTATCATTTCACATTATGAGAGTGGTGACTAGGACATTGGACCACCCAGTCATCATGACATGGCTATTACTGCCTTAAGACCTGATCTACCTACATAAACCTGTCTAAAACAAGAGGAGATGACCATTTCATTCACCTTGATCATTTTTCAACTTCAATTTACACCATCAAGGCTGGAGAAGCTTTGTAAATGTACACAGCGTTTGCGGCTGCAATGTTATGGCAACTGAGCCAGCGTGATTTTAAAACTGGACATTTCCAGTTGATGAACAATGTTTCTAACACTCACTGGACTTCTCATCTACAAGACCCAATTGAACTATTACTAGATAATAGGAGTTCATTCTCTGCATTATGAAATTCACAATTTTTTTTTAATTTAGGCCAATAGACAGGCCTATACAGTGCACGGGTCTAAAAGATAAAAACTGAGCAAACTGCTGACATGGAGGCAAAGTTCAATTTCATATTGACCAGATGAAATGATATGCATGCCAATGTTGTCTCTGGAGTCTGGATCAACAACATTGAATCATCAAGAGAAGAAGTAGAGGATAGGACATACTCATTTCATAAATGTAACACACCACCGGTATGGAAAATCTAACACTAAATGAATTGGTCCAAGCAGATACAATATCTGACTAAACAGTATCAATGGCTGTGCTATTATAGTAATTTCAAGTTGATCTAAATGCAACAGCTGTCCGTGGTTGATTGGATTGTGATACAATTAGTTGATAAAACATATCAGCTTTGAAATAAATACAAATAATCTGGACATCAGTGTGGTCAGTAGAAAAAAACAACAGAGGCCGAGAGCTTGTTATTTCATTTTAATGAATTTTCTAGTGTTATGTTAATATTAATATTTGTCATAACCAACAATTAATTGTTTATTTGTATCCAATGTGGTATATACACATATTTCGATTAGTCTACAGAAAACTCATGTAATGATACAAGAAGCACCGTCACCTCCAACCATATCTATTGAGGGTCATAATCTTTCGTTTGTAGATCATTTCATATACCTGGGATCCAATATTTTTAGTTGTTCTCTCTCCGTTGATGAAGAGATCAATATCAGGATTGCAAAAGCAAATTTTTGTTAATGACTTATAAATTAAAGCTCCCGACCGCATTTCGATTTCGGCACCGAAAGTTGCCATAAAATCATTTACGATTTTGACTGAAATAGAAAAGTTAATTTTCATGTTGCTCGAAATTTTGCTGTCATGGTATGATACATGACTAATCCACTGCGAAAACTGCTCACAGCTGCATCATGATCTACTCGTCCAATATTTCCAGAAATAAAATTACAATTAAGCTTAGGCAAAGGTAAATAGTTTTGTGGGGAAAAACAACTTAGGGAATGATATTATTTTGATTCTTATTCTTATTATATATTTAAAAAAAATAAATTTAATGAATATCAGGTATATTGCATGTGCGAAGGAAAATGTTGAATATAGCAATTGTAAACTTTTACTCTCCCACCGAAGATACATAAGATGAGATAAAAACATCCTTTTTGAGGCTATGTAAAAAAAATCGAATATTAAGCACCACAAAATGGTATTAAGTTATTTGGGGGGGGGCGTTGATGCAATAATAGGGAAAGAAAAAGTATTGGCAAGGACAGTCTATATGAAGAATCCAATGGCAATGGGATCCGACTCCCAGACTTTGCTTCGGGAAATGGGATGACAGCAGCACCAAGTTTCCCCACACAAATTATGCATAACGTTACTCGGAACTGTCCAGATGGAATCATTCACAACGAAGTTGATCATTCTCGAATCGATCGGCGGCATGTTTCAGACATGCTAGACGTAAGAAGCTATCGATGAGCAAATGCAAACTCTGACCATCTACTTGCAAGGGCTAAATATAAGCAAAGAATAAGCATAATACACAATGACCGAAGTCAGAGATAAAAACGATATTATTACCAAATACTTACCAAAAACCAGCTGACCACAGAAGCTGACCAGAATGAAGTCAAAGCACAACTAGAAGAATATGTAATAACATCACTTAATTAAAATAAATTATCAAATTATAATATTACATTTTTTAAACATTTAGAAATTATGAACTCAGTTCAGCATGAATGAAATGATACTACTACCTTTATAAAAAGATATGATGTAAACTATCTTCAGATCAAGTTTCTAGATGGCTTTGCTCTGCGTAGAATATTTTTGGCTTGTTTTCACCTGAAATATATAATTTTTCTGCTACAGTCATGTGACCTGACTGCAATAAGAAAATAGCAGTTATATTTAAATATAACTTATGGGAAAAAAAAGCAATCATGGACATTGCCAAAGAGGTATTCAAAAAGATAGAAGCATACTTGGCTGACACGCCAATTCCCCCCAAAACCCACGCTAATTCATATTCTTTTTAACGACCAAACAAAGAAATGTATTATTGCAAGCAATGCCAGCTTGTGAAGATTTCCGTGTCTCTATTCAAGGATATAACAGCACTGTGTATGTGGCAGTTTGCGTCTAAAGACAGGAGAAAAGATAAGGGTGTTTCGTGCATGAGACTTCTTCAGCGGACAGAACTAAAGAAAATACGCCAAGAAATAAGAGCTAGTCAAAATTCATGTCAACTTGTTAAATATTCAAGCGTGCCAGTAAGGCCTTTGAAATGCTAGACGTTAAAAAGTAGAAGATTATAAAAGGAACAAAAAAGTAACTAAAATCAATCAGTATTCAAAGACTTCTTGAAACGAGAACTGGTTATGGTATATTATATCGGCATCATTCCGTCTCGTGAGACGATGGTGCATCACCGTTGGGTTGGGTTGCATTTTCTCGAGTGGCTGTGCAATCCTATCCTTGAGTGACAGTCTTTACCACAGTTTTTACACACGAGTTCCGTGCTTCCAAATGTTTTGGCCTTCCTCCTAGCTCTTCTGTCTGCAGCCTCTTCCATTCTTCGCACCTCGGCTACCATGACGCCCTCTTTGACAACTGTGCGCCACGTAGATCGGTCTTTTGCCTTACACTCCCAGTCACTTGTATGTATTTTGGCTGCTTTCATGTCCCTTTGACAGACATCTTTAAATCGCAGACGTGGGCGACCTGTTTTCCTCTTTCCAGAAGCAAGTTCACCATATAGGAGGTCTTTCGGAATGCGGCCGGGACTCATTCTTTTAACATGACCTAGCCATCTCAGGCGTCTTTCATTAAGGATTGTGAACATGCTTTGGGTATTCGCACGCATTAGGACCTCACTATTGGTCACTTTTTCTTGCCATTTAATACCAAGGATGCGACGCATGCATATCATATGGAAGCTATTTAGCTTGCGCTCTTGGGATGTATAGGTGGTCCATGTGTCGCTCCCGTATAGTAGTGTACTGATGACACAAGCTCGATAGACGCACAGTTTGGTTTTCTCCGTTAGCTTGGTGTTTTGCCAGACTCGTTTATTTAGTTTAGCCATTGTGGCAGCTGCCTTGCCGATTCTGATGTTAATTTCTTCTTCAATGGACAGTGTATTGGAGACCTTGGACCCCAAGTAGGTGAAGCTGTCCACAACCTCCAAGTTTTCATTATCATATTTTATGTTAGGTGGAGGTCGAGTGTCTTGGGCCATGATGTTTGTCTTTTTCAAGCTGATTTGCAGACCAAATTCTTTGCAGGCATTGGAGAAGCTTGACACGAGTTGTTGCAAAACAATTCTGTGTGTGCTGTTAGTGCCGCATCATCCGCAAATAGTAGCTCGCGAATTAGGACATCTGTCGTTGATATTATTTTATTGATGAAAATAATGGGTTTGAGAGTTGAAAAAAGAAAAAGGGGCGCTAAAAATGGATCTTTTCCCCGGGCGCGAATCTTGTCCCAGGGCGCGAAAACCCTCGCTACGCCACAGCATGGGGGCTTTTAGAAAACACTTTCAATTTAAATCCATTTCTACAGCTTCTCGAATCGACTCTAAGGTTCATGTCTCCATCAACATCTACAACTTCTGTTGACATCTTTCTTTCAGTAACTTTGAATGGAAGGCATGCGTAATTTTGACGACAAGATAATTGATGGTACATAAGGAATAAGGATTAAGAAGATCATATAACACCTGAGAGCGAAGAATGATAACTTTGCTATTGGGATTGTACCGTGCACACACAAAAAAAAAATAAAAAAATAAAAAAAATTCTACGATTTTAAAATAAATATTAAAATAATTTAAATCGTTTTAACATTATCAGAAAATTAAACACCGATGAAAACTTACTTGTCAGTACAGGTAGAAGCACACGCTAATGTCGTCAATACAATGAGATTTTAAGAGAATACACCGCCCGTAGTCTTACTCTCAAATCACACTGTTGCGTTAAAAACAACAGAACACCTCTTTATACATAACAACGCTGCCGTTGTTGAACACGCAACCAATACAAGATGCTGTTGTGGCGACCCCGTCTTATAATTTGCGACCACCAGGATGTGCGTTAATGTTAAATTTGGTAGTAGAGAGTATTAAGAGAACAAAAAACAAAAAAACAGTAATATGACGTCACTTCACGAGTTGAAAGGCCGGTGTTTCTAATTTTGGATTCAGAGTTCCAAATGATGTTTAATTTCATGTGAGCGAGTAGAAATATTTTGGCCGTGTCATGGGTCGGTGAGTAACAACAGGAGTAGACGATGAGCTATATGTTTTCCCACACTCTGTTTGTCTTTCTGTGTGTGTGGAAGGCTTAGGCAACGACCATACGTCTTTTGAAAAAAGACTTTCTTTCTACTCGTTAATCAATGGGGTTTGTCTATATTCTCTTCGACTCTTTTCGCTTCATAGAGATGCCGTACTGTAACCTTCAGCAAAGACTTTCTTTGAGTAATGCGTTTTAAGAAATTTAAAGTTATTATTTTCTAATTTTTTAAGCTCTTTTAAACTCGTCTTTAAATTCATGGTCGTGTCCATAAAGTCTGCCAAAGTTTTTTTTTTTCCTTTGACCTCTTGAACTGGTGTTCCATCAACTTAAAAAAAAAAAAATATAATTTTTTTAAGGAAGAGGGGTTTGGAGGGGGGGGGGGGGTNNGGGGTTGAAGTTATAATAAGATGTTTGATCATGGAAATAATTAATCGAGTTATAATGATGATTTTAAAAAAAAAAAAAAAATTTCTTTCGCAAGAAGATAGTCTTAAGATGACTAAAACATTCCATTACAAATATATTAGTATATCAAAACAAATGTCAGATATTAAAAATGCATTAGTGTTTGAAAATTTCAAATAGAAAATGACAAGTCTGTTCACAATCCCTGGTCACCACGTGCCATCTGGTCTAATACTTTATTTCAGTGCCTGTCACTAATGATCATAGACTGTTAACACTGTACAGCTTCGAATTGTAAGCCTGATACACAAGAAAAAGGAGTCTAAGGGCCCAGTCCCACCTGTTCATAAACATATTTTTTTCTTTAAAATTTCAATATTAGAATGATCTTAGCCCCCTCGAATGGCATGGACCGGCGACGATGGAAATAGCGTATAGGGCTTGTCATTTAATGACGGCAATCTATTAATAGAACTGATGTCATCATTACTCATCATCCGGGTTCTCAGCGCGGACTAAATACCAACACTGTTCAGTATTACTATGTTAGCAATTGTTCCTGAAACTTGTTTACAATTCCATTTTACGAAATATTTTACACATTTTTTTACTTCTATTTTCTGAAATGGGACTTCATTGCGCGAACGGCATATGTAACAGTAACTCTAGATGCAAGGATCGTCCGAACGATATGCTGAAACACACTGTAAGCTGCCAGGTTTTAAGCAATATTTGTCCGCCGACCTTCTAAAAATAGTACGCTATGACGTTTTCCGGTCTGAGAAATGACAAAACCTATTTTAAAGTACTTAGCTCACTATATCGAAATTAGCTCTCTGGAGTCATTTTGAGCTTGTTGAAATAAGACTAGCTAGCAAAAGCGAAGTTTAACGTTTGGTCAACCGAGTCCCATTAGCCCACATGGTAGTTACGAGTCCATATAGCAGGACCGCGAAGTAACAAAATATTATTTATGCTTATTATTTTCTTAATAACTGCTCCTCCTGTCCTCTTTTCTTTTGGTCCACAATAGTTCTGTCCTCTTTTCTTTTGGCCCGCACAAGTTCTGTCCTTTTTTTCTTATTTCTTTTGGCCCGCAGAAGTCCTGTCCTAATGTCTTTTGGCCCGCACAAGTCCTGTCCTATTGTCTTTTAGCCCGCACAAGTTCTGTCCTTTTTTCTTTTTGCCCGCACAAGTCCTGTCCTGTTGTCTTTTGGCTCGCACAAGTCCTGTCCTATTGTCTTTTGGCCCTCACAAGTTCTGTCCTATTCTCTTTTTGCCCGCGCTAGTCCTCTCCTATTGTCTTTTTCCTGTCCTATTGTCTTTTAGCCCGCACAAGTTCTGTCCTTTTTTCTTCTGGCCCTCACAAGTCATGTCCTGTTGTCTTTTGGCTCGCACAAGTCCTGTCCTATTGTCTTTTGGCCCGCACAAGTTCTGTCCTATTCTCTTTTGGCCCGCGCAAGTCCTGTCCTATTGTCTTTTGGCCCGCACAAGTTCTGTCCTATTCTCTTTTGGCCCGCGCAAGTCCTGTCCTCTTGAAGTGAGAGAAAATCAGACTTAAAAAAAAGAGCAGCTTCCCAACATGTTAAAGCGGCAATAAGAATCAAACCCTTATAAAAGAGTTCCTCTACTCGCTTTTCCATCTTGTGTGTGGAGAGTAATTTAAAAAAACAAAACAAACTATTATAGACTTTGTCTCTACTCGCATTAGCATCATGTATGTGGACCTTTGTTTATTTATTTTTTTTTTGGTTTACACAAGTGACACTTTAAGTTTAGTCTTTCAAATGCAGTGTTTATCTGGTGAATGGCTGGAAAAGAATACTGGGTTGAGAGAGGCAGGTTGACACTCCCGCTAAATTTTGAAGGTTAACCGCGTCTGCTTCATTGAGTGAACGGGTGGGTGAGTGAGCTCAGATCTATTATGCCTGGGGAAAGAGTTAAGTCGTGTTTTGTAAGCAATGGGTGTCTAAAAAAAAAATGAATTCTACTTTTAGTCTATATTTAAACATTAAAATTTTAATACTAAAATTTTGATAATAAAAGAAATATTCTGAAGACTGAAACATCCCGTAGCCCCCATATTTCTAACAAAGACGAGTTTAAACGCAATAAAAGATAGAAAGAGAGTAATTTAAAAGTTCTGACAATTTATTACGGAAAAAGTCTGTGCGGAACTTACAAAAAATCAATAAAAATAGAACATATTTAAGTTTTTTGTACATTTAATTCAAATCATTTGTGTTCATAGAATACTAGTCTACACTTCTGCACAATATTTATTTGCGTAACGGATTTTGAGAAATTAAAAAAATATTTTCCACATTTGAATGCGTTTTAACGCTTGTTTTAATTTTTTTAGTTAAAGTATGCTAAAATATATATATATATATTTTAGAGCTTTGAATTTGCTTCGGTAACAGCGAAATTTTGAGTTCGGTGCGGTAAACACTTTAATTCGACGCCTCGGGTAACTATCGCAATTTGAAATAATTTTGGTTTCTAATTGAATGAAAGAAAAGAAATATTACATTTATATGAATTTACGCGATCAACATAGACATGCATTGAACAAAAAAAAAAAGAAAATACATTTTCTTTATCTACCATAGTGTTTATGTAACGATAAATAAAGTCGTGGGTTGGTAAAAAAAATGTAAATAAATTCAACAAGCCACAACGACAAAGTTTTTGGTATAAATCCTTTGTAAAATGTCCTATCAACCAATTGGGGGGGGGGGGGGCGGGGCTGAAAATTGAACAAAACACGCATTCAGGTAACGCTTTTATTTTAAAAAAAATCCAATCAGTGCTCCCCCAAGGCCCGTAACCGCACATTTTTTTAACCCCTGAACAACATTAATATAATTCCATCCATCCACCCCTGTGGCGCTACAGCCCATGCAGGGCTTTGGCCTGCCTCATCACTACCTTCCACTCAGACCTAACTAATGCCTTTCTTTTCCATGCTTGGACTTTCAGCTGCTGTAGATCTTTTTTTACATCACCCATCCACCTAGTCTAGGTCTGCCTTGGAGCCTTTTTCCTCTGGGGTATTGGTGGTGTACCCTCTTCGTTCCTCTGTCATTTGGCATTCTCTCTAGGTGTCCTGCCCAGCGTAGCCTGCCTCTTTTTATTTCTGCCACTATCGTGGCATCCTGATATAGACTGTATAACTCCTGGTTCGTTCGTGTTCTCCATCCATATTCATCCTTTGTTGGCCCATATATTTTCCTGAGAACTTTCCTCTCCCATGTTTTTTAAAAGGTTTTCTGATGTTTTTATTAGGGATTAACATAATTAGCAAACCATTTTTACACAGCAGATTTATTTCACCAACAATTTTAGAAAAAAAACAAAAGAAAATATTACAAACAAAACGCACTGGCAATATTTAACAAAACAATTTCATTTAGCGCAGTTATCAGTAATTTTATTTTCCCCCTTTTAAAAAATGATTTTTGAAAGGTTGGGGCTCAAAATTTGACGAAATGTCTTGTGTTCGAAACGAGTCTACGTGCCAAGTTTCAGCTCGATACGTTGACGGGAAACGGGTCAATAGGCCGCCCTAAGATGTATCCAGTCCTCCAGCATGCCACATAGCCACCCACGAGCAAAAGAAAAGTCAGCATTAAGGATTAAAAATCAAGTGACAAAAACTTGGGCTCAAATTTAATACTATTTTCTCATTGAAAGGACGCTACGAAATGTCCTTTTAAATATGCGTCTCTTACACAGCGTGAATTAGTTTTATACACAATTCTAACTTTGTTTGTCTTTGAACGATACACGTTACTGACAATGGATGACAAAGAGTTGGCTACAATGTGGCGTTGAATATGTCATGGATTAATACAAATAAGGCTGTGTGGTCAATCATTAATAAAAGTCAAGAAGATGTGGCCAAGCATTAATACAAATAAAGGTGTTAAGGACTTGAATGTATATTGTTCGTGCGTGTTGTTTAGAGATTATGTGTGTTGTTTTATCTATTATTCTTAGTATCTTGTGACGTATTGTGTGAAAGGGGATATGACGCATTATGTATTGTTGTTGAATGGTGTGGTCTTGTGAGTACAGTAATGGCATTTGAAAAATGTAGCTTAGTTATGTAATAAAGATATTCAATATGAGAACCTTAGGGTAAAACCGGGTTCGTAACACAAGGCTATGTGGTGAAGCATTAATACAAATCAAGGCCATGCTCGATAGGGTGTTCGTGGGGGGAGAGATGGGTTTAAAATGATTTTTAAAAAGTCTTTTTTGTTTACAAAAATCATTTTGCAATTTGGTTTTCTAGTTTTAATTAAAATATAAGCATTTATGGCGTAAGTAGTACTCGGCTATATTGATCAAACACGGTGTTGGTTCTAATAAGTGTTGTGATAAGCTC